CTCTATCAATATTACCCAGCTCTGTTCGCAACGAATAATCGATTAGCTGAGCGATCTTCGCAACTGTTGTTTTAAACAGGAAACCGATTGGCCAGAAATGTCAATAGTCGTGTGCAAAATGTTGAAATTGGTAACCCATAATTTGCACGGTTTGATTCAGCACCTAACAGGGAGAAATTACGCATTCGCCTGATAAATACATTTAATGGGAATAATTCAATCATCGAGGAGCAAGAAATTAGACCCTTTAAAACCTTGCAAACACAAAATATCGAACATTTTCTTCCTACTGGACAATATCCGAACACTACTCAAATCTCGAAGGATGAGATCGTGATAATCATCGCAGAGAGCCTGGCTATTGACGTGAAATACCAGACTATTAGGCGGAGAAATTTATGTTGAACAGATTTAATGCTATTGCCGTAACATTTGCCATTCAACGACCGCACTCCAAGATCGGTCTAGTCGGAGTACAATAAAGTATTCTAAGCGTATCAATATTACCGAGAAATATAGAAGCTCTGTGAATTAGATCCAGAGAGTTGTAACTCTTTTAGCAATGATCTTTTTGTAATATACGGTGCGCAGTGTGCAAATTTCTGATCGAGCCACCATCGGCCAGGTAAACACATCGTTCCTCTGGCACCGAATCGGCCGGTGTCCAAACAAACGGCCGCCCATAAACTGCGAGGCGGCAACGAGGAAAAATAAATCGAGAGCGGCGTCATCGCCATTCAGCGAAAGAGAGAAACAGACGAGTCGCGAATACTTCCGATTCTGAATCCGAACGGAAACATCGGCTAACTTTGCCGAACGTGGAATCCGCAGAAAATATACAAGGTATTTCAAAAATGTTGTAAACACTTCAAACAGCTGATTTATTCAACTTTCGCCTTAGCGAAAATGTTCTCGGTCTCTGTGTTAACGAGTTATTGGCTTGGCAACTAAGTAATTGCCGATTTGTTCAATGAAATAAAAAATTTCTTTTTACTTGGAATGAAGTTTAATCTGTAATGTAATTTCCATTTTGTTCGATGATCTTTTGCCATCTCTCTGACAACTTGAAAATTCCACGCTCGTAGAAAGTCTGATCCTTTTCGGCCAAAAACTGAGTTAAGTGAGATTTTACAGCGTCATCGGCATCATTAAAAGTTTTACCACAAAGGGAGTTGTCCAGGGATCGAAATAAGTAGTAATCCAATGGCGCGAGATCAGGGCTGTATGGTGGGTGTAACATCAATTCCCAACCAATATCCATCAATTTTTGCCGAGTGGACAAAGACGTGTGCGGCCTAGCATTGTCCTGCTGGAAAATGACACCTTTACGATTGACCAATTCTGGTCGCTTTTCCTTGACCGCTGCATTCAATTTGTCCAGTTGCTAACATTCACGGATAATAAAAAATAACATAATAACAATAATAATAATAATTTTATAATATAACATTTACGGATATCATAAAAATGGGAGTGAGAGACATCTATAACTGAAATCGGCAATTACTTAGTTGCCAACCCAATATTAAAGAAAAACGTGGACCAACGACGACTTGCGATATTTTCGGTACACCCTGTGTACGCTGAATCTGGTTAATTGGCGTACAGCGGAACCTCGGTTATCCAACCGAATCGCGAGAACGTGAACGTTCGGATAACAGAGGGTTTATTTAGATACGATGTAAAAAGGAATCAATCTTGACGTTTTCGATGAACAGTGTTGCATTCGAATTGCTTAATACTAAATCTTCCTAAAGGTAATTAACGTGTGTTGCTTACAAAGTACAGTAATGTCTCCCTAATTGACGTTCAGATTGTCTATAAAAATAGACAATTTGGAAAGAGGAGATACGATTATTCGAGTCTTGCGGTTCGTTTTTATAGTTGCGAATTGTCAACAACCATAAAAGCGAGCTTCAGGGCTCGGATAATCGTATCCCCTCTTCCCAAATTGTCCATTTTTGTGGACAATTATGTATGCTTAGATTAAGAAAATGATTCAACCATTTTCTACGAAAGAGAGTCTATATTTTCAGCAATTTGAATACGAAATATGTAAAACCGGTCATTTTAACCGATTCGCTAGACTCAGTGTTGAAAGATTTCTAAAGAAATATTTATATTTAGTTTTAGCAATATTAAAAAAAAAAAAATACGTAAAACTGATCATTTCGACCACATTGGTACGTTTAATGCTAAAAAATCGAGCTGTTTAGAATCTGAAAACTGATAGGATCGTAGCAAATTATGATATGATCAATTATAATTCTACTGTGCAACCTGTTGACACGTTGAGTGCCGCGTTGACAACAAATGGCTGGTAATTTGTAACCAACTTTTGGTAATTCACTGTTATTGGACAGATTGAATGAGACAAGAATTTTTAGAATACGAAAGAGTTTAACGAATTTTACCTATGATAAATTTTAGCTTTATAGTTTCGGTTTCGTTAATTGAGTGACTTTAATATTGTGGAAATTTTGGGGGTTGATTATTTGTACTTGCAGTGTTAAGTGTCACATTTCCCTCCTTTACGTCGAAACAAAACACTGTTCACTCATTATTAGACCACGGATTTCATGCATTTCTGACAGAACTGAGTAAATCAAACGTAAGAGGAATACAGTAAATTCTCCCTAATTGACGCTCAGATTGTGCACAAAAATGGACAATTTGTCCATTGGACAAAAATAAAAAAAATTGCCAATTCTTGTGTTCGATCTGAGCATCAATTAGAGAGATTATTCTCGATTAACACTAGATTTACGGAGCACAAGAAACAGATGTTTTATATTAGTTTATAAAAGTGACAATAAGACATTTATTCTGATTTTTAACAAGTGTTATCGTAACATTTGCCATAAGTAAATTGAATAAATATCTCATAAATGTATCTTTACGATATGAAGAATCGTAAGTTAAAAAATTAGTGACTTATCATTTTGATAGTCATTAACACTGAATCTACCGAGCTAGTCAAAATGACCACATTTTCTATTTTCAGGCCATTGAAGTTATAAAGTCTCTTACAGAAAATGATTAAATCAATATCTTAATACAAGCATACATTACGATAAAACTGATAAAAAGTCTAAACACATTCTTTACGTCGTTATAAAGTAACGCATGCAAGTTCGTTTTTACCGCTCAGTAGATTTATGGCTGAAACAATTAAGACACGAAATAAACATCAAAACAGCGCCTGTATCTTGGAACTCATAACTTCTTCTTTTAAAAAACATAAATTCTTCTTGAAATCCTCGCCGGCGACTAGTTCGAACTCATTTAACTCGAGGGGGTAAAAATAGAGTTAGGCAACGGAGGGTCTTAAACGCGAAAATGTGGGGTGGGCGAGCAGGCGGCGGGGTTCCTCGGCCGATTAGTTGTCATTAGACAGGTGCGCGGAATTCAGGTAGCTCGTTATTGGCCTAGGTTAGGTCGCGGAGCCAGCGACTATTAAAGTAATAAGGCTAACCCTGCTAAGGTAGTGTACTTTGTAACATGGTCGGCGTAGGGTGTGACGATGGTCGGGAGGGGGTTAGAATAGAAGAGAAAGATGGAGGCAGCCTTATCCCATACACGCGTGCCTCTTGTCTCTCCCCCTTTCACTCTCCCTCTCACTCTCTCCGTCTCTCTCTCTCTCTCTCTCTCTCTCTCTCTTTGTTGCACTTTTGCTCTCCCCTTCGCCAATCGAACGCCGCCACCCTTCGCGGTCCGCATTGCATCAGTGTGAGGCTAGCACTCGAGCAGGACTCTTCCGGTTCTTCTTCGGTGGTCGAGTGCCGAGTGTCGGGTGCCGCGTGGTAAACAACCGATATCCCGGTATTTAGGACGACGCCGTGTGTGGCGTCCAGCGGATCGATATCCCCGGTTCCTCGAGGCTCTCGGTTGCTCGGCCGCCTCTCGCTCGAGGGATCGACAGTCGTTTTGCCGCCGCTTTTCCGACACGGTGGTCTCTCGCGCTCGATACGCCCGGACCGCGTGCTCTCCCCGTTCTCTCGCCTCCTGTTCACCTGTTCTCGCCACCCCCGCCGCGCGCAACAGCCGACTCTCTCTCTCTCTCTCTCTTCGACGAGAGCCACCGCCGAAGCCGACGCGACGATGCTTCTTGGTCCTCGAGCCAACTGAATCAATCCACCGCGAGTGCACGTGTGCGATTTGCGCGACCGGCTCTGTTTACTTACGGTCGTCGTTTGGCGGCCGCGGCTCCGCGAACCCACGCGAACAGCTTAAATGGCAGAGAGTCCGATCAGCAAGTCGAAACGCTACTGTGCCAGACAGGTTAGCTTCTCCCTCGCTCCCTCCCTCCTTCCCATCCACCCTTCTCCTCCTTTCCACCTTCTCGCACTTTCTCTTTTTCTCCGCCAAAGAAAGTCGCCTCGTTCCGTTTGCTTCGATCGCGACGGTAAGCATTCTAACCGAAGGCGAGCGTGTTTTTCTTGCTTCCTCGGCGCGCAACAATGGGCGCCGTTCTTTCGCCGTGTTTACGAGAGACGGCGGGCATAGGAGGGGTGATGGTAATCGAAAATGTGGAACGCGCAACAGCGTTCCTGTTGCTTTTCCATTCGCGTGTTTACCGGCGAATGCACAGGATTTGCGTTCGGCCGGACGAACCGAGATAGACGCCGGCCCTTTTTGACGGCGCTCCGACTGCGAATACTCGAACCGAGGGAAACAATTCCGCCGATAGAAGCGACTGTCGATAGGCTGCGGAAATGGGGAAACGTGGTATTATTCTGCGCGCTAGTCTCTGTCCGGAGTTCGGGGAAAAAACGACTACGCGTCGGGATTGCAACTGCAACGAGATTCTGTTTCTTCCTGCGACAGGATCGAACCGTTTTCTCCCTTCGATCGAAGGGAAAACGAGGCTAGAGGGAAAAGTAAATGTATCTTTTTAAGCTGACAAGGTTCCCCTCTTTCTCTCTCTCTCTCTCTCTCAATCGAGACAGCAGAGTGCGCAACAATTTTCTCCCAAAGCGTTGTTTATCGTTGTGTTTCAGGTGCTGTCCCTTGGAAACGACATCCTCCCAGAGTACAAATTACAGTCTCCTAGAATCGGCAAGTGGACCATACTGCACTACTCACCTTTCAAGGCGGTCTGGGACTGGGTGATATTGCTGCTCGTCTTGTACACAGCCTTGTTCACCCCGTACGTCGCCGCTTTCGTCCTGTCGGATCCGGATTACAACAGCAAGAAGGACAAGAAGTACAGCGACGATCCCATCGTCATCATAGACCTCATAGGTGAGTTTCGGAACTTTCGTCTTTCACACCGGCGCCAGAAAATATTCGATCGAGACTCGTCTCGGTCCCTACATGGGAGAAAACGATACGTTCATTTTTTACGCTCACATTTTCGTCGACGATTCTGCATACAAATTGAGAGAGAACTGTTGCAGCCGTAAACGCTCCGTTCGATCGAATACGTTTCGCACGGGACGAGCTGTCCGGTATTTCGATATCCGGTTGTCCGACCGTAGACCGACTCGTTCCACTGCGCGCGTAGGTGGAATACAAAACGTAGAGTAACAATGTTATTTATCGAGCTAACATTCTCGAAGACAATCGCGATGTTGCACACGCTTGCCTTTAGAGACGTGTTTACGCTCGGAAATGTGTTTTTCGATCAAATTCGATACTCCGTGTTCCCGTGATTCGCAATTTTTTTGCACGAAAGTACGAGGATCGGTTCGCCTCGTTCACGAGGATCGTGTTTCACGACCAAAATATTTTTGGCGAACAGGATCCAGGAGAAACGAGCGTGTTTCCCAGAGTATCGTTGTTCGATTCGCTCGAGACTCTCGGTGCTCTCTCGTCGAACGGTTTTTGTTATTTTCGTTTGTTTCTCGTTTTTCAGTCGACGTCACGTTCATTGTGGACATTATCATAAATTTTCGCACGACTTTCGTGAATAGCAACGAGGAAGTGGTGTCCCATCCCGCAAAGATAGCCGTCCATTACCTGAAGGGTTGGTTCTTCATCGACCTGGTCGCTGCCATACCCTTCGACCTTTTCCTCGTTGGCTCCGATACTGACGAGGTAAGTTACACAGCACGCTCCACGTTCTCGGTGAAATCTTCCTTGCTGGCCCGAACTCTCTGATCGCCTTGTGCACAGTCATTTTTCTCGAGCCGCCTGAATTCTTAAAGTTCAAGGTGGAACGCGCCCCGGCCGCCGAAACCGGGGATCATCGATTCCCACCCGCGCCGATTCGTCTCGCGTGCACAAAATACGACGCGGGCTCGGGAGAAAATTCGGAAAATAAAATTTCGGCGTGCGCGCGATTACGTTATTTAGGGCGGGACACGGCTTGACGGGAGCGATCAGGGTGTCGGCCGAGGTTTCTAGAATGTCGATGTTAGCTCGTAAACATGATTAGGATGACATGCCGAACCCACAGTTAAGTGCCCATAGGTGTGTCTTACCGGATTGGTGCTTAGTTCGTTATCCCTTTTTTCAACGTTTCTCGGTGTTGAATGAGTTCTATTTTTCTTTGTCGGAAGTTAGTCGGCTCGACGTACATATATATATACATACATATAAGTATATATTTATATGTATATATATGTATACTTATATAAAAAATTCTCTCTCTCTCCTCTCTCTCTCTCTCTCTTTCTCTTTCTCTATCTCTCTTTCTCTCTCTCTCTCTCTCTTTCTCTCTCTCTCTTTCTATATATACGTATATATATATTTATATATACAGGATGTTAAAAAAATCATTCAATATTTGCATGGTATATAGGATACATTGTACCGAGTTAAGAAGCTTTAGTAAACGTAGGTCGAAAGGTCAACCGTTTCTGAGATATAAACATTTTTGTTTACTAATATCATGATTGACTTACTACTGAATTTTTGATGTTTACAGAAGATTTTCACGTGTCCATTCTACACACGCTTTGCATCTTCTTGTCACAGAGTCGCGAACTCTTTCGAAAATTCCACATTTCTGTTGAATTGTTTAACAAGCATGGCTGATTCGGTTACGTAACTCTTCTAAGTCGTTTATCGGCGAAGAATACATTAGGCTTTTTAAATATCCCCATAAGTAAGTCAATTATGATACTAGCAAACAATAATGTTTGTATCTCAGAAACGGTTGACCTTTCGACCTACGTTTACCAAAGCTTTTTTACTCAGTACAATGAGTCCTATATACAATATTAACATTGAATGGTTTTTTTAACGCCCTGTATGTACATATAATATACCTATATACATATATATGTATATATAATATACCTATATACATACATATGTACATATAATATACCTATATACATATATATATATATATTAATGTGCAGACGATATATGTGTAACCGACAGACGAGAAGGAACTTTAACGGATTCTCGTTGTCTGGAACGATTCCACACAAGTTTCACGAGTGGTACACGTACGTCATTAGTCGGACATATTGCTCGAAGTAAAATCAGAGTTAACAAATTCGTGCCTATGTTCGAGCGATAATGCCATTAGACTCGGTCCGCGCGAACAAGGTGCACGGTAGATCAGCCTCTCTGTTTCTCTTGGAAGAAAAAGAGAGGCGACGGAAAACACCTTCGGTATAGAAACGTGTTCTACCTGTACGGCACGTATGCATACACACCTAACTGGTCCGTGAACGCGTAAGTAAATCTCTATCGCTGTGACGATTTCTGCTCTCTGGTTGTCAAAACTGTTCCGAACATAACTGTCGAATCCTTGCCAAGACTCTCTTCTGTACATTATTTTCCTCTTGCTTTCCGTTCGATCGCTGTCCGTTTCGAACTGACCCTTTCGGGCCTGAATAAACCGCACGCGTCCCGTGGAATCTGTCGACGAATTTTCGTGAAACTGACCAGAACCCGCAAGAAATGTTTCGAACGAAGCTAAATTGTTTATTGGACCGCTCGGGAAAGTTGTTTGGTTTCTCAAAAAATTTCGTTTCGTAAGGGTGTTGAAAGAGCACTCGATTCGGTATTTTGCCGATAAGAAACGGGACTTCTGCGAGCGTAAGATGTCGAAGCTACCAAAATAAATTTCAAAAAAATTTCTTTTCGTGCCGTAAACATTGAAAAGTCGTCTTTGATTATCTCGCGGAAGAACGGAACAACTTCGCGGACGACCCAATAAGTGGAGCTACATCCTCGAAGTCGGAGATAAGTCGAGTCGCAACATGTTGAGAAAAATGGAGTCGCGAAGGGGTTAGTTCCCGTCTCGGTTTTCTTTGTTCGCCGTGAAAGGGAACGCCAGGGCTGCGAGGTTTCTTTTTCTTTTTTTTTACCTTTTGTTTTGTACTCTTCTTCGATCGGCGTCGAGGAGGAACGAGCGAACGAATAGAGAAGAGAAATGAAAATTAAAGAAAGAAAATCAAAGGAACGGAATATATTGCGACGCGCGCGCGCGCGCGGGAAGAGGGAGGAAAATTTGAGACGCAGAGTTGAACCAACGAGAACCGCCGTGTACACCTTCGAGCTAACTGTGCGCGAGCGCGAGCGCGACCCGTTTCTCCCCCCAGTTGCTACCCCCCGCCATCCCCCTGAAAAGGGGGAACAGAAATAGGGCGGCGTAATTTTAATTGCGCGTGCAGGAAAAGCTTGCTTCCACGATCAACGCGCGTAAATTAATTATATTCTGCGAGAGACCGGCTGCGGGAGCCTCCACGTCCCCCGGCGGAAACCAATCGAATCACCCCGTAGCTAAAATTCGACGAGAGGAAAGAGAATATTTTTTTATCCCCCTGCCCCCGTCCCCTCTTCTTTTTCAACCAACAATTATACCATGATCGGGATAAATCTTCTGTTCCCCCGACGAATCTCTGTCGATTATGCCGAAAAAGAATTAAAGCAATATCCTGTCTTTATTTTCCATTTCTTTCTCTCTCTCTCTCTCTCTCTCTCTCTCTCTCTCTTTCTGTCTCTATCTATCTATCTGTCTATCTATCTGTCTATCTATCTATCTATGTATCTATCTATCTATATCTCTCTTTAACCCGACCAACCCCAACTTCTTTCTCTTTCTCTCTGTATGAACAACAATAAAAAAAATTCTGAATCACGAAATCATGAACGAACGAATTTTAACCTCAGTTTAACGTTTTCGTAGCTCGGCTTGGACAAGGACGAGGTTAGTTGACACACATACACACAGAGAAATTATACTCACAGGCTGATATATTCTATTTTTGTTCTGGTTTTTTCCGTTCCTTCTTTCTTTTCTTTTAACGAAACGCAGATTTCGATTTCACACGTTTTGTCTACCATACACACACATATGCACACGTACATATTATAAACAAACACCCTCACACACACTGTCTCTCTCTCTCTCTTTCTATTTCTCTTTCACAACCACACCGTAATATTAACAATTAATTAAAAGGTCACCGAACGCAGCCATGAACTCTTCTCTTCTGTACGTTTCTTTCTTACTTCCTTTATTGCGACTTTCTCTGTCTATTTCTTTCTCTATCTCACTCTGTCTCTTTCTCGCTATCTCTCTTTTTCTCTATCTCTTTCTCTCTTTCTCTCTCTTTCTCTCTGTCTGTCTCTTTTTTTTTGTCTGTCTCACGAAAACATACATAAAGTCTATCGTTTCTTTCTATCTGTTCTCTTATCATGTACAATTTTAATTGCTTGAGAACACGTCACACTTTGCGATTTCTCTGAACTTTTTTCTGCACATCGCACGCTGGTGTAAAATGCAGACTGGCTCGGCAGAGAACCGACGCGAATCCGTGAACAAATCTCCGCCGCTCGCCGCTCGCCGAACGAGAAATCATTTTTGCTAAGCCAGAATCGCATTCTAGACTACTGTGCACCGTTCTCTTCCCCATAACGAAGACTCGATCCCGTTTTCGATGCTCCACGTCGACTCCCACGATTTTACCACACTGGTCCACCGACGTCTCACACCTCCGCACACTAAAACACACGCCGATACACAGCCACAAGAGGAAGTTAATCCAACCAACTGCAACCCCACGATTTGTCAAGGATGCTCGAGCGAAGTCGATCGACAGTTCGTACGCGACCTAAATTCGTTTCATTTATTTTCCGTTCGGGCAAGCCTGCCGTATCGAAGTTCACGATAACTCGCCGAACGAGAACGAGCGAACGTTCGATCGTCCGAGGTTTCGCGCTCCCTGAAAACGCATGCACTCGCGGTCACGACAAGTAGAAAGGTCGAGCAATGATCGGACGCGAGCCCCATGCGATTATGCGAGATCCACGCGCCGCCGATTTATTCTGGAAACCGAGCGTTCGGACGAACAAACGTTGCTCCGACATGCCACGTGGCTTCTCGTTCGTCTCTTCGACGGTAGATCGGTCGTGTCTATTCCGCGATCGAGAACCGCGTCTGCACTTTGTACAACGGCGATAGCGTCGACATTTATTTGAACGATAAACCGCGGCCGCACCTGTTTCCGCAACGCTTTCGGAAACTGCGATCGACTTCCTCGCTTAAATTTCACGACGGCGAAATCCTCGAAGGAAGTCTGCATGTCCACAGTAAAGTATTTGCGAGAACGATACTGTAAATATTTTCTCGTCGCTGTTTTACGATCACTCTCGGTAGGACTTGCATCAAAGTATGAAACCGTAGCGTTAAAGAGTAACCTAATTCTCTCTCTCTCTCTCTACTTGTTCTATTTCTTTCTTTTGTTGTGTTCGTTCTCTTTCCCGAGCCTTGTATTTTTCTCCCACGCGTGTACAAAACGTTCGTTCTGTGAAAAAACAGTACACACCCGCACATACACATGTACCCAGACACACGGACACCTAAATATATATATATATATATATATATATATATACACACAGCCGTCGACGACACACGAGTATGAATAGAGCGAAGAAAATAGAAACGCCTCGTGATATATATTTGATAAGAATATACTGTACCATATGTGCGTATACACATACGTCCCGATTAGATAGTTGACATAGTTCTTAGACGATTATTCCCGTGAGATCTTGATCCACCTGTTTATACGTATATACGAGCGAACGACTCCCACGATCATTCTTTTCTTTTCTTTTTTTTCTTGTCTGTTTTTGATCCTTCACACGTTCCCCGTTTCATCCGTTTCTCTTGATCTGTCATTCTGTTTGTTATCTCTTCTTCTTTCATGTTTGGTTTCCCGTTTTTTAAGTAGCGACGTAGACGTTCGTTGGGTATCAATACTTGCTAAGAACGGCGCCGAATAGTTAGATTGGTTTTTAGTAGATAGCGATCGACGATTTGTTTTGTACCAAATATTGATGCTCGGACCACGTAACCACGTAACCCGTCACTCTGTTCTCCGCCAACCGTATTCGTCCACCAGAATGAATTGTTAAGGCACGAATATTGGAGTTGACGATGATTTCCACGATTAACGAAACTAAGAAGTATAGAAAAAGGAGAAAGGGACGAATCAACGATCGATCTAGAGATGTAAAGAGGATGAGAAGCGATCTCCAGTGTCCGTTCGCTTTTGGGGTTGCAGGATTAGCAGCGTGTCGGTCGGCGCACTGTCTAATACGCTTGTTCTTCCGAAAGTTCTCGACGAGTGTCTTTAGGCCTGTGTCGAAAGCGCGAACGGAACGAGGAACGACAATTTCTCGGACAGTGTGGCCAACGACAGATCCACCGGCACCGAGTACACAGCTACGACACACACACATATATACACACACACGTACACACACACGCTTCGTAACTTTCTGAAACGATACTTGTTGCACGGCCGTCGATGAGATCGATCGGTTCGGTGCGGTTCACACAGTCGCGATTGCCGGTCGTGACGATGTTCTCTTGCAGTCGAATCACCGCAGACAGCCCGACTAACGAGGAGAAACCGAGAACAATGAGGCTCTGCTAATCAAATAAAAGATTTAACTAATCAATCGGAGGATCGCCGAACGGTTGAGCGACTCCGCGCTTTGTCCCTCGTCGCAGCCGAGAAATCGAAGACACTTTAAATGCCAGACAAACTCGGCGTGAACCACGCGCGCGTATACACGCACGCGCGCACACCACATACGCACACATATATGAATATTATATATTTATACGAAGAACACGGATACACAAAATAGAGAGCAAACGACACGCGAGAGACGCAGAGGATCACACAGTGAACACAACGAAAGCGTCCACGAAAAGTGAAAGAATAATCAACGGGATTTTGTGAGGATATCGTATGTAAGCTTTTGACGTTTTCTCTCTCTTTCTCTCTCTCTCTCTCTCTCTCTCTATCTTTCTCTCCTTCTTTCTCTTTCTCACTGTCACTCTGATTCTTGTTTTCTTTCTCTCTGCCTTCCTTTCTACTCTGTTTCTGTTTCTCTTTCTCTTTCTTTTTTTTCTCTTTCTCTCAATCTCTCTCTCTCTCTCTCTTTCTCCCTCTCGCTCTCTGAATTCTATTAAAACGAGTCTGTTGGTCCTGTTTTTTACGTTGTCGAGAGCTTCCTTTTTGGTACCTGTTCATTGTTACGCTTCTATTGCAAGCTGTATGAAACTTTACAAGCCCAGCCTGAATCAGTAATCAGTTTTTTTTTTGCGTGCGTTCATGTTCATCCGAGCTGCAATCGGCTCGCTCTGTTGCTCTAACACGTGTTGCCATGCGTTTCGTAATATTTTCGCTTCCAGAAACTATGTACGGGCCGATACGATATACTCTCTGTCTATATCTCTGTCAATGTATCTCTCTCTCTCTCTCTCTCTCTGTTTCTCTGCCTATCTGCCTCTGTCTCTCTCTCTCTTTCTCTCTCTCTCTTTCTCTGTCTCTCTGTCTCTCTCTCATCCTTGTTGCGTACGTCATGTATCTCTCACCATATACATGTAAACTCTACAAACTAGACATATGTATATCTGAACAGTTTGTTGTACACTATTGAGTGACCATGCGTGTTATTTTCTGTCGCTTGAACGCTTCGTCTTCTTTCCACCCACGTGTAATGTGTTTGTTGTGTGCGGGCACGGGTTGCTGGGCCGACTGGTAGCGTTTTGCACAGCTTCGAATGGTCGTCGTGCCTCGGAGATCCCTAGAGATCTAGACCAAACGACGAGCGAGATCTCTTAGATTCGGTTTCGCAGCACCTCGGATACATTATTCGATCGCGAGATACACACTATAAGTCCATAGCGATCGAACGTCCGAGCTGCTCGGGCATCTCGTTGACCGTCCGAATATCTTGCGCGCCGATCGGCCCGAGGGCCGTTCAAGACCGTTCCGACGTCTGGAGATAGTGGATTCGATTAGCATACTACGGAACAAACGGAGCTCTCGGATTGTCGGCGGTATCGCGGAACATCCGTGACATTCGAAGTCGGTTTCACCGCTCGAGAGATAGGATCACGACAGACAATGAGACGACCTGCCCGCCGTTCCGAAAAGCTTCCAGGATCCTTTCCCTCGCGTGTACACCGCCATAACATTCCACGCGCGCTATCTGTCACGGCTATCAAACGTCCTCGGGTATTCCTGGCAGAGCCCGAGGCCGGACGACACGACGAAAAGGCCGAATTTCTGCTCGTCCTGACCGCCGAGGAATCTTCGATGCGCCGCGACCATTCGAGAGCCATGCGAAATGGAACACGATTGCCAGAACTAGTGCCTTTCCTGAGTGGCGTCGCTGCGGAAACATTAACGTCTACGGCGTGATCGATCCGCGCCGACCAGAAACAGTCGGAAGAAACGCGGATCGTATCTCCTCTGAAGAAGAGGAGAGATGTTCTGCATCGCGGAACAACGACGCAAGCAAGAAAATCGTTCCATCGGGACGCCAGATCCTGTCATAATTTCTGGCTGGATGGCCGACGAATCGACGGTTCCACGTCCGGATCGGTCGTCCCTCGAGCCTCGCCGAGCAACCCGTGCGCCAAGCATCGACTCCTCGACCATCGTTAGCAACCGATTAGACGAATGGTTCAGTTTGATCGGAGCATAGACGGCTCCTTTGCATGGTAGACGATATACCGGCGCGCGGCGTAGGTACTTTCGGGTGCTCGGGCTTCGAATCGAACCCCGGGTCCACCGACAGGTAAGGAGATGCCCGAAGAAAGCATGAGCAACGAACAACCCGTCTCCGTCTGTCCGTGACCGGAGGAATGTGTTCATTCTACCGAAACGATGTTCTCGACGCTTCGCGGTCCTCTACATCGGAGCTTTCCGCTTCTCTCGTTCGAGTCTCGAGAGCTTTTCGTCCGATGCTTCACGCCTCCTCGATGCAAGCCACGCCGGGAACCTCTTCTTCGCTTCGCGATACGTCGAGTGAACGGTACTCTTTTTCAGAGAAGAAAGCGACTCCGTGCGTTCTCTCTGTCACCGTGTAAAGCGGGCGTCGTGGCTTTTGTCGATAAAAGATACCGGATCGTTGAGAACGGAACGCAAAGCGTTGGCCGAGCGAGTTCGACTGTCGACAGACGGGACGAGACGAGACGAGACACGGACTCGGATGCGGATCCATCGACTCGTTTGTTCGCGCGAACCCGAGCGCGTACCTTCCGTTCGCCGGTGTGCATAGAGAAACGCGATAAGTCGCGGTGATTCGCGATGCGGCTCGAGCGGATCTCAGTAAGTACTCTCCGCCTGGGACTCTGTTTGTCTCGCGGGACAGAGTTTGTACGGCGACACGAGGCCGAATCGAAGCCAAGGTAACCGCGACTGGAGTCGCACACGGACACGGAGGATCGAACTCGATCGCGACTGTCGTTCGCCACCGACGTTCTTATGATCGTTTAAATTGACTAACAATAGACGCGTCGACGAGGAATCGCGGCGGCAAAGAGAGACCACGGCATTCCGGCGAATCTCGTGCTGGGACTATTCTATCGCGCGGCGGCTTCTGGCCGAGCTGAAAAAATGACCGGTGACGAGCCGATCGATCGAACACGGGAACGACAGTCGCACATTTTAGACTCTCCTCGTAAGATCTCTACACCGCTGCAACCATCGCTCGAACCGCGGAACTGACTTTGCCGGGCTGTGTCGAGTCTTGTTCGTTCTTTCGACGGTTCGCGGACGGACCGTGGAAAAGACGAACGCTACGAATCGGTAACCAATGAATTTCGGCGACGCACGGTTTGTCGGTGGACCGTTGCGCCCGCCTGGAAGTTACACACCTGGCTCACCAAGGAAATCGGTACCGTCGGCGCACCGAAAGCCGACGTACGAACGTTCGAAGTCAGTTGTTGCAGCGGCTCGATGGGAAACTCGTGCAACGAACAAGAGTCTCGTACGGCCGAGCGTGAGATCGACAAAGTGTGACGTGTTCTTTGCAGACGACCACCTTGATGGGACTGTTGAAGACGGCGCGTCTTCTGCGACTCGTCAGAGTAGCTAGGAAGATCGACAGGTACAGCGAGTACGGAGCTGCGGTATTGCTCCTTTTGATGGCCACCTTCGCTCTTATTGCTCACTGGCTGGCGTGCATATGGTAAATCATCTCCCACTTCTATAATTAATGCCGTAAAACCACTGCTTCTTCTTAGATAGTGACCCTAGAACGCCCTAGCTAGGATGCTTTCATCCTTGCGTCGATGACCAATCGAAACCGATCGGTCGCCTAATTGTCGCGCGACGATGATCCTCCTGCGCTCAGAGATTCGAATTTCCGTTCCACGCTCTTGTGAAATGATGGTTATCGACGCGAGGATGTCGGATCGTAGCTATTTCATATCGCACTAGACACTCTGAAGCCACTGGTTCCCTGTAGGCCTTTAAGTTCGATGTACAGTACACGTGCTGAATCATTCTCGTAGAATAAAAGCTAGCCGTGTAGAGTACAAAGAGATTAGCGGAACACGCAGCAAGAAATATTAAAGATACACGGGCATAGGCCGGTTCGATGATATAACCCAGAACTCGTAGACCACCGCCCTATGCACTTTATACGAGGTGTGCTTCCAGGGTTAAAGATCCGATCGAAGCGAACGTGTTAGCACGATGAATCAGAGAGACCACGAACTTGGAAACCTGATAAGGCAATCGTTCTCTGTTGCGCAGGTACGCTATAGGGCACGCGGAAAGGCCAATGTTGGAGAGCAAAGTCGGCTGGATCGACATTCTGGCGAACGACACGCATCAGTTTTATCACAATAACACCGGAGGGCCGACTATAAAGGTGAACGAACTCTGCGACTCGAACTTACCGCGAAATATCGTAATAAAATGCCATCGTTTTAACGATGGCTCGCGCGACGCGGCCGCACAGTGGTGCCGAGGCGGCGTAAAGTCTGTTAATTAAATTTTTGTTTTTCAGAAGAATACCTTTTTTGCATCGCCTAATAGTAGGAGCGTAATGTGCAACAATCGGATTTAAAAAGAACAACTTTTTTACAGATATTTGCGCATAACAAACGACCTTTTCTTCTCTCCCGAGAATTCGTCGGTTTTTAGTGCAATGATTATGTCATTTTTCTGTCTTTAATTGTGATTAGCTAAGGATCTCAAAGCTATGTGGAAAATTTAAGGGATCCAAAATAATCTCTCTTTGCGTTCGACTTCTTTTTTATTTAAGCAGTTTCATAACAACTTTCATAACTGACGTGTCTCAAGTAATAGAGAAAAATGTGAAATTTAATGTGTTTTATTAACTCTTTGCACTCGAGACTATTTTAACTTCAAAATGAAGACGTTTGTTCCAACCTACAGTATTTCCATTTGGTACCATTGTTTTTATTTGATACATATGAAATTGAACGTGTACGCTTATAGACAAATGTAATAATGTGAAAATTCTTTTGAAATTAGTCCAGCAATTTTTAGCATCACCTCAGAGTCGCCACTCGAATGCAAAGGGTTAATACTTCGAGTATAAAATAATATCTAATAATAATTGTTTTCATGTTATATAAATTACTATTATGGGACTCATTGGACCACTCTTGGAAAAATGCTCGTTCAGTTCTTGCAACAATGGTACGATCAACGGAAATTTTGTTTACGTAACACTAACAAAATTGTATTTAAATATAATATTTCTAATTAAATATTTTGTTATACTTAAAGAACTCGTCAATTGTGCGCGTTTCACATTGTTCTTTATTATCTAACCCCCGAAGGACGGACCTCGCAGAGAACGGAGCCGGGGTAATTCTGGTCCATGATAAAATCTCTTATAAACAGTTTTTTGTCGAGATCAGTTAAAATGAGCCAGAGTTAAGATTCTTCTGAAGGTAGGTATGTAAACTTCAATTACGGTCAAAAGTGTTCGAAAGTGGTGAGAATCTTTTAAACACAGTTACTTCAGCGTTACAACTTGACGAAAAAAATCTGTCCCAGCTTTAATCAACTTAATCCATTCACTGGCAGACAAAAGAGCGCCCTGCCCTGGGCAAGATCTCAAGATAGCCCAATTTTAAGGAAAATCCTACGAGATAACTCGTAGCTGGCGTCACTGAATAAAATTCCTGTGCCGAGAGGCGCTTACGAGATATTTCGTAGTCGACAGTGAACGGATTAAAACATCTTTTGTGTGCCTGCACACATACAGAAGAACACAACAAAAAGAGGCTTACGATTAGCCCGAACAATAACTTCACGCTCAACGAATATTTGAAAACGTTATTTTTGGCAGACGACAAATAGGGAGTTTCCCAATATATTGGGTTGGCAGCTAAGTAATTGCCGATTTCAGTTATAGATATCTCTCACTCCCTTTTTATGATATCCGTAACAGTCGGACAAAGCAATAAAAATGATTACAATAATGTTTAATGCCGTATTCAAGCTACAACAATTTCCAAGTACAGTAAATTCTCCCTAATTAACGCTCAGATTGTACACAAAAATAGATAATTTGGGAAAAGAAGATAAGATTATTCAAGCCTTGCGGCTCGTTTTTATAGTTATGATAATCGGCGATTATGAGAACGAGTCACGAGGCTCGAATAATCGTCTCTCCTCTTCCCAAATCGTCAATTTCTGTTTACCAGCTGAGGGACAATTGGAGAGAATTTACTGTACATAGAAAGTAGCTGAAATCATGTTACAAAAACCAAACAAAAGCGTTCTTGAATCTTCGTCATGTAGACCAATATCCCTGCTACCAATGATGTCAAAAATATTAGAGAAAATAATTTAGCAGACTAAGAGTAACGATACAAGAAAAACAGCTATTCCCATATCGTCAATTTATTGGGTTGGCAACTAAGTAATTGCCGATTTCAGTTATAGATGTCTCTCACTCCCATTTTTATGATATCCGTAAATGTTATATTATAAAATTATTATTATTATTATTAT